TTTTATCACTGCAATTAAAATCACTGTCACTGGTCCTAGATGGGACTCCGTTAGTCACCTGAATTTATTTTTCTCCAACAGAATAAAACAATCCATTAGGGTAGATTTCACGTGCCAAACCATCAGTCGGTTTCTGTGACTGTCACACACGTCCTCCCACCGCTCGCCCTTCCCAGCGCCTTCTAAATCACATTAACATGCTATCAGATCAGCGTGCTCAGATTTTCACATTTCAGCAGCTGTTACTCTCTTCTTATTAGTGAGTCTGCAGAGAAAATCTTTCAGACAAAATGGAACCGAACCCTGTGGTTATTGTGCCTGGAAGTAGGCAGGACTGAAAGTGCCTGAGGGGGGCCTGCAGGTACCACGCAGAGGTCTTTCAGAAGAGACATTTGTTATTCAAAGCTGCTGCCCATGAAAACAAAAAAAGCTGATCCCTACTCCAAAGATGCAATAGTTGTCATTTTTTCATATGTTTACTATCACAATTAAGCACAGGACAGTGCGAGAGCCTCGTTCAGCCTCACGTATTTTCTAACCCATCCCGATGTGGTCAGTCATCCCAGACATACACCTTCGAGCCACGCAGCACAGTGCCCTGCCAAAAGCTGCTGAGGACACGGTTTGTCACTGATCACTTTCCACACAAACAAGGCAACTGTTACTCAGGTCCTGTAACAGTTAACTCTTCAGAAAAGTTCCATAAACATAAAATGGGAACAACATGTAACACTGCTGTTGTACTGTCCTGAAGACAACCATGTTCGCTTGCTTCAGTGATGGACCTATTGAACTGGTGGCTGGACCCATGGTCTGCATGCCGCATTCCCTCATGTTACTATACCATCTGAGGTGAGTGTCCTAAGTTGTCTGTGCTTCTTAGTGCTCAACTGTAAAGTGAAGATAATGATACTTATTTATCTCTGTAACTCTATTTACGACGATATCTCCTGAACAGATTGTAAGCATGATTACTAATCCATAGCCTTTTACTTTGTTAAGAGTACCTAAGCTTGCCAACCACTGACCAACTTGATTAGTAAAACTTCAGAACATTTTTGGAGAACAAAATAAACATGAAGGAATAAACATTGTAGGCACAAGGAGTAAACACTGTATTTTTTAAATATTAAATCATCATGTTACAATTTCTCTGTTCTAAGAGAACTGCATCATGAAGGATCTTACACGATATTTAAATCTTTCTCAAGAAGTTGTGTGTTTCTTACAGCTTTCTTAGCAGGTCAATAACTTCCAGACCTTAAAATCCATTTAGCAAATATTTTCTGTAATGAAACAACCTCTCAGACCCATCTGAGCATCTTTACTGTCTGTTTGCTGCAAGTACCACAATTGCAAATAGCAGCAGCCATCACCACTATGTGTTGAAAATAGCACAGGATGGAATGGTCTCTTTATCGCTGTGTTGAGTTGAACAAAGACAGATTATCTGGTGATTAGGGGTTTGGAATATTAATTAAACATCAAGGCTTTCAAATTAGAATCCCAGATGTTTGATCATTATGGTAATTCCCTGTTAACAGCATTCCCTGAAAGGTCTGAGAAACATTCCTCTAATTCTCCAGTGGTGAAAGGTTGAAGACCCTTAGGCTATTGAGCACTGAGCTCCTCTGCATCAATTATACAAGACATGGCCTTTTTAGCAAAATGGAGCCATCTTATTTAGTGAGCCTCCTGTTAAGGAAGCTCTCAAACAGCTGCCTAGGTAAATAAATGCTTTCCCTACTAACACAGGCTTTTCCAAAACAAAGCACACTTGCACAAGCTGCTTGCTCTGAATCTAGTCTCAGCAGCAACTACCTTTTCAGGGAGGTACAGCATGAGCAGCTGGGCCAGCTACATCTCTAGGAGAAGCTGCCCTGCCAGTGTGTCTTGTTCTTCTGCTCTGGCCTGTCTGGGCATAGGAGCCAGACCATCTTCCTCAGTCCTCATTCACCTCTGGCTGAACTGCTTCCCAACGAGTGCTACATGCATAGCCTTATCCTGAAAAGGTGAGAAGCTGGAACAAGTTCAAGTCACACTCAGGAAATTACATGTTAGTTTCCTTTTTAAATTACTCATGCTTCTGCATTACTACATTTTATGGAGGCAACTTCTCCTGAGCCTGTGAACTAATCTGGGAACAATGCCTAGTGTTTGCAGAGCCCACTGACAAGAATACAGATGGTTCTTTTAACAGCACAAGTACTGTTTGTCATAGCTCAGGAAGTGTGTTTGGAGATCTGCGCTAACAGACAGCCTGCTTACTACCATGGCACACAGCCCTCGTACATCTGACCCTCTCAGCGCACTCAGCGCTTTGTGGTTTGTCATAAATTATCCAGCTAGGGCTAATGATAGCAATAACAACGCTCCTTTCACCTGGCAGTGATTTACCCCTGGTATTTCTTCCCTTGGTACGTGCTCCTACTAACATATGAATAAAACACAACTTCATACACACGCCCAGAGCAACCAAAAGACTTTTCATCAAGCAATAGTGTCAGAGAAGGTAACATGAGATCTAGACAGGATGGAACAGATTATCTGAGGTTCAAGGTCTCAAGTTATTCACTTACAAGCTTAGTCCAACTTGAGTGCAATCTGAAAGGAATTTCAAGTGGAAAGGGGATGTATTTCAATATTTTTCATTCTTTACTAGGTGTTAATTTTGCACAGTCTGATTAAGGAATTTCAGCCTTCACAGGGTGCAGCTTCAGAGCAGATATACTGCCGATCTGGACCAGTTGGGGAAGATTCCTTCTTCTATTATGTGTCCAGGAACTTACGTGCTACCTCAGATAGTGCTCTGTAGAGGCCGACTTTCACTTAGTGAAAAACTCTTTTCCAGCAGCATTTAGTGCGCACATTTGAAGTAAGTGCCCACACATTGCTTGCAAAAAATGAATGGAAAACATCTTAACTTTCACAAAACCTATATAATGTCCCCCCCTCAACTTTTATTTTAAACCTACTCTCTGTGTAGTAACAAAATATAAATCTGTACTCAAAAGTATTTGTGCTATTCACAAGGTTCCTCTAGATTCTAACCAGGTACCCTGAAGGTCTCCATGCCATGTTCCAGTCAACTGCAGATGTTGCTGCAAGTAGTCCCTTTTTTGTAAAATTTTTTACAGTTTTCTGTAAATCTCTTCCTTGCTACCACAGAGGTTTTGCAAAACAGATTCACCACAATCACACAGAGCCGATATTGTTCATCAAGCTCTGACCTCAACACCAGCTATTTCCATTTACCCAACAGTTTTCCTAATGTGCATTCTACTGTAATTCCATAACTCAGTTCAGGAATACTTAGACATACCTCATTAGTCAGGTTGATGGAAGAAAAGAAGGGCATGCTAGAATATGGACAGCTACAATCTCAGCAAAGTCCCTGGAGTTTTGATCATTAACAGCTCTGGTTTTCACAGAAGAAAGCATGTTTAGAGTTTCCTGGATCTTGCTGGGCCTCACATTAATACTGACCATAAAGAGAAACATTCTTAAATCTATTGGTGTAAGGACCTTTGTACTTTCAATGGCTTTCAACAGCCCAGCAAAACTGGGCTAAATCTATCAGTCATTTATAGAGCACTACAAAGCACTGGAAATGAAGGGGAAATTATCTTTTGATAGCACTGTACACCTCCAAAACAATATACCAAAAAGCTGATGTACCAAAATTAAACTGGTTAGTTAGATGTACCTGAAAATGGCAAACTGTCAGATAGCAAGTTCTCCATTCTTCCCTATTGAGGAACCTTGCATGTAGGGTTGCTTGACTTCTAAAGGCTGTAGCTAGGTGGTTTTGGGCACCCTGATGGTCTGCTGTTACTACTGATCATTGAAAATTAGCAACTTTGTCCTTTTGACTAATCAGTATTAGTTGGACAACACCAAAAGAGGCAATCAATCATATGAAGCTGCTCATGAAGAAGAGACAATACCAGTTAAATCTCCTTCCCAGTTGCCCCTCCTACCTAACTCTCAAGTCATTGTCACAATAGATTATGGAAGCTTGTTCTTAGCTAATATTCTCCTAACAAGAACATTCATTCACAATTTAGCACTAAATGAGATTTTAGCACTGCTCAGCAGTGTTTTTCTGTCATCTGACATGTCTTTGAGAAAAAAGATGCTTCTTTGGATGACGGGATGAAAGACAAGGCTGGCACTGGGCTCCAGGATACCATTCCCTGTGGTCAGTATCAGGTCATGCACACCTGAGACCAGTCAGTCCCAGCAATGAAACACTATACTGAAATATTCCAGGCGTTTACTTGGAAACAACATAGACTGTGGATAATCATTTAACCTGGATCAAGGTTATAAATTGAGTTCAACAATTACCACAAATCACTTCACTCAGATAACTGTAGCCCCAGACAATTTTCAGGTACGGTTTATGAACTAAAATGCTTGATGCAGGTTTGGCCTTATTAACTCTCAACAGGCAAATGAAGAATCACATTTTGCCTTGTTTGGGTCTAATACACACTGTGATTGCCCAAGTCTTCAGATCCACTGAGTCATTTAAATAATTGCCTACAGCATAGTCCCAAGAAGCCTGCAATACTGACTTTTTTTCCATACAGTGGGGAACAAATAGCATTTCTAATAGCAAAGTACAACTTTTATGTTTCTTAAGAAATGTGATAGCACATACTGAATTGTTGATTTTGGCATTTAAAGGAGATGTCAGTATCAATTATGATTAAACGTGCAAAAAGGCACATTTCTAAACCAGATCTCTAAGATAACCCAAGGAGCAGAGAGTCTTATTGTAGAGGCTATAATATTTCTTCTCCACCCCTGACCACCTACATCTCTTTATACCTCCTGGAAGAGCAAAACAGGACCATCTAAACAAACATTAAGACATAAAATATACGAATACAAAACAACTATGTATTCTTGTAAGTTGAAGGAAATTAAAAAACAGAAGTAGGGGAGATCTTAGGGAGTAACCTCTAAAAAAATTCCACCTTAGTATATCATACCTTCTACTGCTAATTCTTTCCATCTTTCTTTGTTTGCTTGAATGATCTTCATCAAGTTGTCCTTAAAGCTCGTTAGGTCTACAGTTGCTAGAGAATTTTCAGTGTGAGTCCCTCCATCACTTGCACTTTTAAAACTGGGTCGTTTTTGTGCTTCAGCATTGCCTACTGCTCCCAAACTACTTTGGCTGCAGAAGGGAAAAAACCCTAAATTATGAACAGAGTTAGGTAATTTTAATAACACACAAACAGTTACTTTGAATCAAATTCCTTAGGACCTACATGCAATCACTAACTCAAAATACTAGTTTTCATCAAAGAGCATCTAAGATACAAGACATTTATTCAACTCATGAAGCTGTAAACTGGGATCAATTCTTATCAACCTTTTTCCAGCGAATTCTTGAAAACAATGTGACAGCTGAAATACCTTACTTGTAAGTTGGTTCTTGAAAGAATGTTTATGTAGCCATTTCGGAACAGCTTCTTAGCTGTGTTTTTGAACAGTGAATGGCATTTTTGGGGCTTACAGGAAAGATATCTGATTGTTACTTGTTGATCCATTTTAAAAAAAGCAATACAAACACATATGACAGATAAGTAAGTTTAGCTTCTGCTGAAAATTCTCTTCAAGATACATGCCTTCAAGTGTAGTCAAAGAAGGATTTAGTACAGTGGCTTTAAAATCCACTTAAGAGATACTGCAACTACCTTACACGTAAGGTAAGGTAGAAGTCAAATTGATTATTCATATGTGAATATGCAGATACATGTAAAGGCAGGAAAAAAAAGAATAAACTCTCTTTTTTTCTTAAGATTAAAAAATCAGACCTATTTCTGGCATTATACAGGTAATCATGTCATACCAGGTTTTGTTTACTCAGTTATGCTGCATAGTTTATCTCATTGTTAACAAAGACAGATGTTAATATGCATACAAATGGCTTTCCATTAATCTGAAAATACAGTTGCAGTGAACATATCAGTGAGAACTGCACAAGAAAATTAAACTGTAATTTCTGTGTGCTCCAGAGATGTTGAATGGGATAGAATGGAAGGAACAGGCTACAATTCTACTGCTTTTCAGGCACCACAGTGAATGTCATACCATACACTCATGGTGTCCACCCAGCAGTGTTTGTGCAACTCTGCTGACTCAGACATTCCTATATCCTGCACCGCATCAACCACTCTCTTTGTAAGTGTAGCTCTCAATTCCATACTAAGAAAACATCCCTTTATCCTCCACCCCACATTCCACAGAGGAAGCTTTGCTGGATCATTAGCGTTTTTTCATCTACCACTCAGTCATGAACATCAATCGAAAATGAAGCCTGGAGCTACTAATCATTTGCAGCTGCTAATCACTCATTTGTGAAGAAGTGAGTAGGTAAACAAGTTTTTTGTTAATAATGCCTTAGTTTAGCACTGTTCCTCAAAACACAACAAACATTGTCATAAATACCTGCTTCTAGTAACTTCTACTTACTTCTAGTAACCAAAATACATGTAAATTCCTGATCAGAAGAGAGCTGGGTTTATCATTTCGCTATTAAAATCTAACTAATGCGCAGCAAATTAAAAATTGCCCTGCAGAGTGGTCATATTAGTGGCCTCAAAGAAAGCTCAAATTACAGTTTTAAAATGAAAAAAATGTGGTAACATGCAATAGTTTAAAAGAAGCATCTGATTATTGAACGATGCTTTCAGCATGGAGTCACTCAAATAACATTGTCTGCCATAGCTAGTTTGTGTCATTGACAACTTCTATCATGATGCAAAAATCAAGCACTTGATGGACAAACTCCCCCTGCATCTCACTTACACTGTATTAAGATCTCTTAAGTGGAATATAAGTGGAATCAATTGTGTCTCAAGTGTACATAGCAAATAGTACCAAAATGGAAAGGTGAAGAAGGGAAGTGATTTACAGCATAATAAAAACCAGAAAAAAACTTGAAATCACCTTTACCACCTCCACTTCCAAACGTCTCCCAGAAAGCAAAGAACGACTTTTGGTACTGTCAATTAAAATTATACTGAAAATGGCTCAAGATAAGAGAACTAGGAACTTCAATCATCTATCGCGAAGATTATAGTCAAAGGAAAAAACTTGTTATTAGATATGCTGTAGAAAATTTACTTTATATTTTGTATTCTGGTCATTATTGTCTTTTTGCCTTTTTATATGCACGATTGTCCACAAAGGAGTAACAGCATACTGCAAATACAACATAGCACCACATGGTGGCAATACTGTACAGCTATTTATGTTGCTTTTCCAACTGTTAAAATAATTGCTATAATTCTGAGAATGACATTATTATGTTAGTTTCTGTTAGTTCAATAACTAAGCAGTGTGTTCTTACCCAGGTGTCCCAAATGCAGGACTTTCAGATTTTGATGCTTCCTCTATAAGAGGCATGACAATTTTCTCCATTGAGTCCGTAAGAAGAGAAAATGTTGGTTCTACTATGAAATCAATGAAACCTAAGGAAGAAAAAGGGATAAAATCAGATTTTACATTTTCACAGCTCTCAAATCTAAAAATAAATACTTGATATCAGGCTGATTTTCTGACTGTAGCCTGATTCAATATACTAGATACCACTAGTTTAATCTTGAGGAAAAAAGCACCATGAAAACCCAAACCATCAGCTATAATTAGATATTAGTAATTACAGCTTTTCACTCCTTTTTATTGTAAATTTTATGTGCTGCAGAACACACCTACCATTTGGAATGAATATTAAATATTGAATAAAAGGGAAGTTACAGTTGAGCCAAGGGGCTAGAAGTCATACTGTCTCTTTTACCATTCAGGTCTTCTTGCCAAGGAGTTAATATTTCAAACTGCTGTTTATTATTCTGTGGAGGTAAAGTGTTATTTCACAGTGTGTAGGAGTATTCTGTCAAATCAGTGACGAGAACAAGTAATATCCTTAGGAGACAGCATTCATCCCACAGTTCTGAGATGTCAGCTCTGAACAATGTATTTTACATTTTAAAGTGCTCATCAAGGTATGGAATGACACAGTGAGAGAATGAAGCATTATTCTCTGCTGAGCACTTAACAGGAAAAAAAAAAAAAAAAGGTAAAACATGAGCTAGCAATGGATTTCCAGATGTCTTCATACTCTAACCATGCAACAAGGCATAAAGGTGAGCAACAATGCTTCAGCCTAGGATCCAGCTTCCCTCCCGCAGTAGGTATGATGATAAGCATGCTGCCTTTCAAGTCCCAGTGAAATGGAACAAAGGACATTTTGAGTGAAAAGATCAGACAGGATGACATGCTTCAGCTCAAGGATAAGACACTGTCACCTATAGAATCTCTCCCAGAGTACTGTGTTTGCTCACATAAAAGGTAGAGCTGTTGGCAGGACATACCGCTTTACTCAGTATGCTTCTAGGGTGTCTCCTTGTAACTAGCCCCAGTGACCTTTAACAATTTTTGTTTCCTTATTACTGCTGATGGAAACAGGGATAGAGCGAGCCAAGACCCGCATTTCTGAAAATGGGAAGCTGAAGTTTGGCCACTGTTGATCAAAATGCAATTAGGATTGACAGGAACAGAATGCAGTGGTCCTTGTCAACCCTAGGAGGCTTGACCTTGCATGGTTTGACCCTGCCGCACTGACAGTCTTAACTGCAGTCCAGAGATCTGATGTATGAATTAGCTTTGAGATGCTCTACAAAATGGTACCAGGCTTTCATATCATAGTAGAGACAGACTTGTGAGCCCTTGAGCAAGAGTCGATCTGTCTGAGGACATGATCTACCAAACTCTAAAGCACGTACAGTAAAAGTTGGGCTCATGTCTAGTGCTTTGGTTAATCCCTCTCCTATCCCTCCTTGGCATCACATGCTGAAATAACCTCATATTTTTTTTGAGACCAGCGCATTTCTGCTGTAAGAGCATATAAGTTTGGTGAACAAATAGGTGCATAGAAATACCTCCTATATGATGGCATTCAGAACACTTAGAATTCAAAATGGGTATAAGAAATGTCTGCATGATTTTATATGCTCCTACACATATAAGAAAAAGAAAAACACAACTTGTTTTTACCTATTTGGGACTGAGCTACCAAAGTAGACTTGCGGTCACAGAGTGGGGAAAACTGAAGACCTAAAGCAGCCTCCTTGTCTCCCTGCAAGCAACAATGATTAATATTATAAGCACGTATTTGACAGAGGGACAGAGAGACAAAGGACTCTGAACGTTTTTAGTATTTATTCAAGAGATTACTTTGTTCACTTATATTTCTAAATAAAAGCAAGCCACAAACTAAAAATGTCTCATTATTTATCTTTAAATTTTCAGGAAACATAAAAGTCAAAATTCTAGCTTGTATTTGATAATTTTTATATAAAGGAATTTATTGCAAGCGAGTTCTCCTCAAGAGCAAGGCATTTGCCAATGAGATTTAACATATATGAAGTCTTTCAATATTCAGTTTAGTCTTGCTGATCCCAGATGTAATGGGATTGGAGATATTTAGACCTGTTTATAATAGTATGTCAAATGCTGCATTTCCTTCTATTACATTGGTTTATCCAACATGTAAAATTTCTTCAATGGATTTACACAGATCAAGGCCATGATCTGATTTGAACTCCTTCTCACTAGCAGGCATATCTCTCTGTTGCTGAAGCCATAAAAAAGCACAAGCTCAATTTCATTACTCAGACAACTAATACAAACCTAGTTCTGAAAATATTTCAACACCTAAGACATTAAAATAGTTCATTTTTGTTGTTGTTGCTGTAACAGTCTTAGCAGACAAGGGGTCATTATCTCCATTTTCAGCATAGTACATCAACTGACTTGCAAAAGCTTGAAAAGAAAAGTCTAGTGGTGCCAGAAAAAACCCTGAAGAGACATCTTTCAAAGGAGGCTATAATTTGTGTTGCTGGACAAACCTGGCCGCTAGAAGCACTGACATTGTAGATATAGGAAAACTTAGTCTTTCAAGTAAAATGGCTCTACGTATTACGTCATGGAGAGTGCTGTTTCATGATCATTCAGTGGGGAGCAGTACATGAACATACCATTTTCCCAAAAACCTCATCAGAAGCTGATAGATGAAGGGGGCAGAATCGACCTTCCTTACTCTTTTTATCATATATCATTGAAATAGATTTGGGACAAGTTTAGAACTACAGTACCAATAAAACCGCTTCAGCCACAGGAACAGATGTAGCTTGCAGATTGTGTTTCATGTGGAAGTGGAGAGTTTTATCACTATGGCTTTTAAATTGTATGCCCAAGTGTCCATAAGTTGACTTCAGAGTGTTGAAGAACACATGAACACTTACTACTAGGAGAAGTGCTAGTGGTATCTCCATGTAAATGTAGAAGCCAGATTGCAATATAATATAAACTGAGGTAGTTCTAACAATTTCAGCCATGGTTGAATACACAATTTCTAACACAATATTAATTTTCTAATTGTCCCTTAACTAGGTATTAAAAAAGATAAAATTCCACAGTAGTAAAGAATCAATTTGGATTTTTTTCTGTCTTCAAGTAGCTCTTTATCCTAATTATTAATTACTTCACAATTAATATAATACGTAATGCTTAAATGTCATATAAGTCTAAGTCTATTGTAAATTGTAATAATGGACACAGCATCGATATTTAAATTGATCATTAGAATTTCATGAGACTTAAAAGAAAAAAATCAAAAAACTCACTGGAAAATTCTCTTGTGCTTTTGGATGTATCAAAACTGAGAGCAGAATGCTATAGGAGCTGTGATACTTCTTTGAGTGACTTGAACTATGCATTTCTTTATTTTTAAGATTTTGAGATGGGTGGGTGTATTTCTATTTTAAACAAGTAGCTCAGATTTTCCTTGGCATTATAACACACTTTCTGTAGTTGTTGCTTTTAAACTTAAAACGTTGTTTGGCTTTTTCCCTGAAGTTAACACTAGCACATATTTTAAATGTTAGCTGCAGTTAACAAAGTTTTTTGTCTAGGTGAATGTTCATTTTTTGCTGGTGCTCACTACTTTGAAAGTTGCCTGTTAAAACATTGTTTCTGCTCCAGCAGTTTCAGGCTCTGCAGCTTTTTCCTGTAAAGTAGTAGAAGTAGTTGAATTACTGTTTTTAAAGAAAAGAAGAGGAGGAATTAGTGGGTTTTGTATACCTTCCAACTGCTTCATCTTGGCTGACACCAATTTGGAAATGCCGGAGGTTTCCACCACACACACTCAGACCAACAGACCAGAGGATGCACAACCAAGCCAGTGAATCTAGGAAGCAGGAGACCTACTCCTTCCGCACTTCTCAGTGCATTTATATATGTACAGTTACTTCATCACATATTAAATGTGTTGGAACTACTCCACACATGCTCTCCTTAGCAGTATGTATAAAGAGGGATTCAGTTCCTTGCATGCTCCTCTACAGCCTGAAAGACTTTCACAATTTATACTGCTGAGCTGCAGAAATACATATATGGTGATTTGATTCTATTGTCAAATGCCTTCTCAAGTCTTCGAGCAGCTTATTTGGGATCCAGTTACTTCTTCTAATTAAATGATAAAGGAATAACTAAAACATTAGCTGATCCTATGCACTCAACGACCAGTGTGGTACTGTTTGTCCACTTGACTGGACACATTGCCTTACTGTCCCATGGGCTCTGTCTAGTCCGTCTCTGTGTCTAAAATGTTTTTACAGTTGGTTATTTCTGACCTTTTCAAGTAATATATATATGGGGTAATCTGTTCCTCCTTTTTCCTCTCAAGTTCAAAATTCTTATCATTCCCCCTTACAGAAGTAGACACAAACTCATGACTCTACTCAGCATTTCCGAAAAATCTAATCCATTCATTATTTAGATTAAGGCCCCAGCTCTCCAGTCTGTCTCTCCAGTGCAAAGCCCAGAGTCAAGGATGCCCTGATGCTCCCTACTGAGAACTCATATGAAGAACCTCTAGGAACCGAGCAAGAACCTCATAGCGCAGATGGACCTAACAGCCTCATGGTTTATCATACTGACTTTCTTATTCTCTGATCCTTTTTTCCTATGTGATCCATCTGATTTGAAAATTTCAGCATATAGCAAAATAACAACAATCAAGATAAGCAAGACATACACTGTTTCATTATCTGTATTAACCATTTTTAAAATCTGTGTGTAACTGTAAAAACTGTGCAATACCTAACTTGGATTTTGGTTATCAATTGTACTTCAGTAACTGTAATGTTAAAAATGTGCATGGTCACAAATATTCATTACAGGAAGAGTATTCCCCTTTCAGAGAAATTTTTTCTTTCACTTGTTGAGGTGATTAAAAAAAATGGCAGCAGGGACACCAACACTTCCTGGGCTTTCTCTTTGAATTCAGTACCTCACAGAAATGAAAAGACTTTCACAAAGGTGTGTCTTCATTTTTGTTTTAGGGTACATGGCCACAGCGTTAACAGGATGATACTGTCTAACCTCTGGCTTTAGATCAGGTCATTATGAAAGCAAAACCATCAGATCTATGTGGCATATGCACGGCAAACACTGGTAAGGGAAAAAAATAGGAAGGCTTTGTGAAATGTGAAACGGAGACAACTTTTTGCCGCCTTTGCTGAACATGAATTCTTCCTATTTTCAAGTCCTTCATTCTACCCTGCTGGTGCTTCTTTTTAACTCAAAGCATATATAAATCTCTGTCTACAGAATGAAAACAGCTTGACAAGTTATATTATTATTGAAAGAAAAAAAATGATACAACACTCAGAATCCTGGTATCAGCTGAAATAGATATAGAGCTATAACAATTTCATCTTATTCACGCACATAGAAGTTGAATTCATGTCAGTGGTATGTATGAAGGGTAAGGAACATATACTACTGACTATGCTTGTCAATCATAACCAACGGCATCCTTACTGATAGGCTTGTGAAAAGATTTAATTGCGTAACCATTGCTCCTTGAACTAGATTTACGAAAAGATTTTAAAAATGGCACCTGTCGAAAAAATTCTTCCATCAGGGCCATGGTCCACCGGTAGTGCAGTTCCCAGGATTTTGCTGGATGGCTTATGTCTGCTGCATGTAGAATCAAAGACATGGCTTTGGCTTTGTCTACCCTGTCAATTCAAGGACATGCTCCAATTATCTCAAAACAAAAGCAGCTAGTTAAATTCTTTTCTTGTACATGAGCTCATTGAAAAACTACAGATAATGAACAGAATGGAAAATAACCTACCCCTCTGTCTGCTGTAGAGTATGTCGCATCGTTTTAATTTGCTGAAAATGACCCGACATATCTGTAGACAAGACCATCTCAATGACCAAGCTACGCAACTCCCTAAGAATAATTAAAAGCAAAATGATTGATTACAATTCATTTATTCTATGTATGGTACATTTGTTTAAGCAGTACTTGTTAATTTATAACTTTCTAAACAACATCATGGGGTTTATTATGTTTTTAAAAACATTTAAATAAATTATTAACAACTTGCACATTGTATCCTAAAGGGATTCTGTGAAAGCAATGTACTTCAGAAAACGCACTCTGCAATCACTATTTTGAGTTACACCGTTTTGTAATTCCTCTTTTCCAGTGTATAAACTAAAACTATATGCAGTTATCTCACCCATTATAAGTCTTTCCTAATTTTTTCACCAGCAGAGTATTCAAAAAAACAGTCGGTCTCTGGGCTTACCATCACACAAGAGGATATATTTGTGTCTTTTATTACCGCCTTTACCTTAGAGCAGAGCAGGCAAAACACTAAACCTAGAAAGAAGGCTGTGGAAACACTCAGAAGAGCAAGAGGTATTCCATCTGAAACACTATCAACATTATACCAATATATGAATATTATGACAAACCACTCTTCATCTCAGAAATACCTTAATGCCTATTTAACGAATCAGAACAAGTTCAGGATTCACAGTTTATCTGTATGTTGGCTTGTCCATCAGCTTTCTATTCAATGAATATGAAAATAGTAAAACATGAGTCGTGTAAGAAAGTGTATTAATTCTCATTGTATGTGAAAGTACGTTAATTTTGTCAACAATAATTACTGATTTGGAAAACTCTGTGTCCTCGATGTAGAAGGATTGTATACAGACCATGTAGGATTCTACTGGTTCTTTATTTACATGCTTTTTAAATGGCCTAGGAGGATTTATGTGCAAGAGTGTTGCTTCTATGTATATTGGGGACAATTCACCACATTAAATCTCTAATAATGTACCATATATCTTCATAAGCATGCTCCCAATCTTAAGGATGTCCAAGTATCAATTACAACAGCAGAATCCTACTTTAGTCATTGTCACTGAGCTTTCATATTGTATTCATTTCTTTGATTTGCTTAACAACACATTTTTTGCAAAGGACTGCATTTTAAAGAGGTAAATTGCAGTTTCCTTTAGGGCTGTTAGAATAGTTTGTTATAAAAACTATCAAGACTGCTTTTGAGCCAAATTAATTGCATATTTAAGCTGATACTCCTCACTGATTTTTGTGCATTTATTCCTGACTTGCGTTGATGTAACTGGATAAAGACTCAATCCTCTCACTTCTACTCAATAATATGCAGTCATAGCAACTTGTGTTTAGAAAATGCCTTATCTGACCTCATAATAAGACACTAATTAATTTGCATCCCTACTGTTCCTCCTCCACATTGTTTTGAAACTGTACCCTTCAAATGCACAGCCAAATCCATTTAATAAAAAAAAACAAAACAAAACAAACAAACAATAAAAATACCCGCTAACACTGCATGAAAACTGAAGGCTCTGCATTGTTAAACCTTGTTGTTTGTAAGAGTGAAAAAATTATCACTTCCCCTTTCTATGGGTTATTTTCATAGGAACTTTCCATGTCTGAACTTTTAAGGGTAATCAGAAATAAGTCCACCCCTACTACACAAGTGACACAGAAAAGCAAAACGCTGTTTCCAGTAGATTCATACTGTGATGGCAGGAGACAATCCTAATTCTTACCTCCATCACCTGAAAAAGCATCAAACAATGTAGCACTGTCCTCCTCACACACTTCTGAAGATTTCAGGCCACTATAAAGCTGCTTAACAGCAAAGGAGATACTATCCACCTGCAGCCTGTGGTTGTTTCCTGCCTGTGTCCCCATCCATCATCAATAGAGAGATGGAAAATTCAGAACTGAGGGGGAAATGTTAAATAAAGCTTTACAACAGCTACAAGTGCTCAGTCTACTACCACTGCCCACAAGATCACTCTTGGACTTCAACTATTCCCAAATGATTTCCAAGAGAAAAAAGACCCTCTCAACTTCCATACTGAAGGAGATCTCAACCGGTCTCATAGGTAACTCCTGGACAGAAATCTCTACCCACTTCATTAAGCAGTCCACAGCTGCAGGCATTGGGATAATACACTTAGCATTGCTCAAGCTACCATGGCATACGTAGGTGTTGCCGTCTTTCGTTCTATGATGGGAAGTAGTAACAGTATTCACATACAGTCCATAGTGGTTTTTTGGGGCCCACAATTGGAAGACTACTGCTTTTGAGTATACAGTCTCCACTTTTCTGAAGTGAACTGTCATTGTCTGTGCTGTCATCCTTTCTTAACCCTCCTATATCCACATGTCCTATGGATAGGATACTGTAAAAAAAAAAAAAAGCAAGACGATGTGAATACGAATAATGCTGTAATAAACTCGGAGTGGTACATGGACTTCTCTGAAAAGTAGTTAACCAATAAACAGAAGTCAACTTTATCTGGATTTGGCCACGACAAAGACATTTAGTCAGCA